CCGGTTTGACGATTCAAAACTACAGGGTTTTTGTTATTATTATTATTATTATTATTATTATCATGATCACCATCACCATCACCTCCTTCACCATCATCATCATCATCATTATCACTATCATTGGTACATTGTGTTTCAACTGTCGTTCACAGGCTTTTGAAGAGTTGTCCTTGAAGTTTCTGGAATCTTCCAACAACACCAGATGACTCCCGCAGGCGTAAAGTGTTGATAAGCCAGCCATTAGAGGCGACAATCTCAACGTGGGCGTTTCCCAGAAAGTTCACGTCCTGAGCTTGACCTTGACCCTGGCCAAGTCTAACGGTTTTGTTACTTACTGTTGTTGCTCCAGCAGCTGATTTTTTGTTGGTTTGTTTGTTTGTTCCTTTGTCGGGGTCCCCTCCGCGACCCCCCCCCCCTTTTTTATTTTGAGTAAAGAGAAGCAGATGGACACAATATCGAGGGTGCTCTGTTAGCTCAGTGAGTCCGCATCATGCTGGGCTGCGGCGCAGATGTTGATTGGGTTTTGAGGTTGTTTTTTTAGTAAAGAGAAGCACATCGATACAGTAATTTACTGTGTCGATGTGCCTGTCTTTACTGTAATGGTCAAGTAGTGCTGGGAAAAAGTAAGACAGGCAGACAGACAGAAACAACAGAGAGAAAGTATATGAAGTGGGACCAACCAATAGTGCCCTCCAACCACCTACGCGGAGTGGATGACCCTGGTTCGGATTCCCAATGGGGTGTTCTTGAACTTGGGTCGCTTTATGGAGTTTTTAAAGCTGTCAACTGTTTTGGTTGGGTCTTTTCGGAAATGGACGTTAAATTCTAAGGCCTCGAATTTTGACAGTCCTAAATAATTTTTCAGTTTTGAAACGACCATTTAGATCTTGTGTGTGTGTGTGTGTGTGTGTGTGTGTGTTTGTGTGCGTGCGTGCGTGCGTGTGTGTGTATGTGTGTGTGTGTGCAGGGGGCGAGGGTACAGAAGCAACAGAAGGAAAGAAAAGAAGTAGGACCTACCAATGGCACCCTCCAATCACCCGCCTTCCGAAAGAGAGATCAATTTTGTTTGGATCTGTGATTGGTCAGAGAAAAAGAAGCACATCGGCTCCAAAACGGTCATATAGTAGACCTACCGCGGAACAAAGCAAGACACAAAATTAACTCAAACGATAGATAACATCAGAAAAGATAAGGTAAGATAAGATAAGATGAGATAAGTTACACCTTTATTGTCCAGATCCTGGCGTTCCATAGTAAACTGGACACTGGACATCAAAGTGCATAGTCTAGGATCTTATGCAATTTATTCATTTAGTTGTTTTTTTAAGTACGAGTCTGTGATTGAAGTAACCTACAGGGGTGAGTAGTTTAGTGAACCATCAGCTCACATGGCATCAGGACGTGAAGGAGCTGGTTCGAATCCGTAAAGGCATTCATTGCAGCTACTTGTATTTGACTGCTCCATGAGTTTCATGCCTCTTCACCCATCTGACTCTGTCCAAGCAGAATCAGCTGATGTCAAATCGGAGACCCCACGCCCCACCCCTTAAATTATTTCACTGCAAGAGTCGTTAAACCCATAACATACCATATCACCTGTCTAAGTGGAGTGGAGGGACGAAAGACAGGCTGGAGGCGCCAGATCGGATATACACACACACACACACACACACACACACACACACACACACACACACACACACACACACACACACCTGCTATATGAATATATACAAGTACATTG